GAAAAAGAGAGCCCGGGCTCTTGGGGACCCTCCCTTGGGGGTCTGCTGGCCTCCCGGTCTGCCTCCGAGGAAGCCGGGGAGTCCCCTCCGGAGGCAGAGGGTGGCAGCGAGGAGGACTCTTCCCTCGGGGAAGGGGCCGAGGTTCCTTTCCTCTCGGGTGACGCCGGGGGTGCAACCCTCCTGGCCGAAGCCTCAGCCGGGGACCCCGTCCCTCTCCTCTCCCGGTGCCCCCTCCCTCTCCCGAACGTGGGCGGCTCTTCTCCCGCGGCTTCCCGCTGCGGTTCCCTCCGCCACTTTATCGCGCGTCCCTTCCGCGCTCGCCTTCCTCTGTTCCTCCTCCTCCTCCTCCTCCGCTCCCGCCGCCCGCCGGCTCCAGGCTCTTCTGGGGTCCGTCGCCCCCCCCCCCGAGAACCCCCGGGCCGGGCGGGCGGGCGTTCGCTGGCCTTTCCGATGTCGGTGCCGTCAGGGGCTGAGCAGACCAAGTCCGGCCCGCGCGGCCGCCCCAGCCTCCTGGCCCTCCCGTGTGGGGTGGGCGGAGGGGCCTTGGCTGTCTCCGAGGGAGGAGAAGGAGGAACACTCTGTGCGTGCTCAGAGACAGGAGTCTTGTCTCGAACGCGGGGCCCCGAGGCTTAGCCCGCCAACAGGGTGGGGGGCAGCCCGAGGGGGCCCGCCTGCCTGAAAGTCTCCCTGCCCGCCTTCTCCTGCAGAGATGCCGCCCCCCTGCCCCCCGGCGCTGCTCCTCCTCCTGCTGACCCTGCTGGCCATGGCAGCCACCGCCGGGGACCCGCCCGAGGTCTGTGACCTGGAGATGAACAAGACCAAAGACCTGCTCCAGGTGAGCTGCGTGGCGAAAGGGCTGAGCGGGGTGCCCACCGGGCTACCCAAGGACACGGGCATCTTGCTCCTGGCGTCCAACCGCCTGGCCCGGGTCTCCCTGGCCTCCTTCCAGCACCTGAGCCTGCTGAGCGACCTGGACCTCTCCAACAACAGCCTGACCACCCTGGAGGCGGCCAGCGGAGCCCTGCCCGAGCTTCAGCAGCTGGTGCTCTCCCGCAACGCCCTGGCCCGCCTGCCCGCCTTCCCAGGGCTGCCCCGGCTCTGGCGCCTGGCCCTGGGGCACAACGCCCTCTCGGAGCTGCCCGAGGGGGGCTTCCGGGCCCTGAAAGCGCTGCGGGACCTGGAGCTCCAGGGGAACCGCCTCCGCCAGCTGCCGCCGGGAGCCTTCGCCGGCCTGGCCCGCCTCCGCGACCTGGACTTGTCCGACAACGACCTGGAGTCGCTCCCCCGGGATCTGCTGGCCGAGCTGCGGCTGCTGGAGATCTTGCGGCTGGAGCGGAATCGGCTCCAGAGCTTGCCCGACGGCTTCTTCCCGGAGGAGACCCCCTTCGCCTTCGTCTACCTGGAGGAGAACCCCTGGCGCTGCGACTGCCGGGTCGCCTATCTGCGGGACTGGATCCTCGATTACGACACCGTCTACACCCGCACGCCGGGCCCCGAGAAGGAGATCACCGAGAACAACCCGAGGAGCGTGAGGTGCCGCACTCCGGCCGCGGCCGAGGGGCAGCCCCTCATCGACTTCCAGATGGACTGCGGGGGCCTGGGAGACGG